TAGAGGAGCTGCTGCTGTGATACATGGACAGGTAGCCCCAGGCAGGAGGAGTCCCAGTTCTGCACCTTAGGCACTGGCCAGGAAGGGGGGGTGGGGGGGGGGAATGGGGAAGATGCTGAGCTTGAGTTTTGTGGCAGGTAAAATGCCTACCCGCCCAGGTGCCCAAGTCCTAACCCCCAGAACCTGTGAATACCTCTTGCATGACAACAGGTGGTACCCCTGGCAGCAAACAGTATGGGTTTGGTGTTTTAGGAAAAGACCTGGGAGGAGCCAGGGCGCTGGGACAGGTGAGGCCAAGGCTGTAAACTGGTGCTGGGAGAGGGTGTGCAGGAGTGGGCAGCGGCAAGAGGAAACCAGGAGCATTTCACGGGAACGGTCAAGAGAAGTCAATGCCTGGAGGCCGAGCGAGACTGAACAGGTATATGAGTTTGCAACCTGCAACCTCAGCAAGTGCGGGGAAGATGCAGTGAGGACGGAGGCCAGTGAGTGGGGAGGAACAGAATGAACGAGGGCCTCCCACCAGTGGCTGGTGACCCTGGAGGTGGGGTGACTGACAGAGCCCCGTGTGTGTCAGAGCAGGACTGGCTGTGGTGTGAAGGGGTGAGAGGGTGTGAAGGGGTAAGAGGGTGTGAAGTCAGAGCACTCACGAGGGGTGGGCAGACCAGGCATTGACCCTTTGTTCCAGGAGACGCTTGATCCAGTTCCCCTTGATTGGCCTGAAATCTGGGAAACACACAGGCCTCTCTTTTTCAGGGGAAAAGGGTGAAAAGAGCAAAACATGCCCTTAACTTCAGCTTTCAAGTTGACTTGTCTACACACCTTTATTAGAAACATACGATTTCACGATTGCAAAAAATAAGGCACATGGGTTGCTATGAGAACTCCTTGTCCAAAAATTGTAGCAGCTCCCTCATTTGGGTGGTGGAACTGACCCTGTCAAGGCCATAGCTCTGATCAGACATCAATCCCGTCTGTCCCAGGAGAGGCTATGGAAAGGCCTAGAACGTTCTGAGGAAGCAGCCTTTGCCACCTGTGTCAGACTCAAACCACATGCTCTCCAGGGACATAACACCCCACCAAATAGTCCAGGTTACCCCACACATCAAAGAAAATGCGGAAAACACAAGTACAGTAACCCTGTCATCAGCAAATAACCGTTCTCAGATGCTTGCTGTGTGCATTTCACTTCTTGTGCCCATCTGTGCATTGTACAAGCTGTGTGTGTGTATGGTTTGTTTCCTTGTTTTACAAAACTGGGGACACTGTGCATCTCAAGGACAGGCTGCGTGTCCTGTTCGACCGAGTCTCACCGCCAGGCTCGGTGGCAGTCCCTTGGAAGCCTCCCGACCACGTGCACGCTTCTATCTGGCTCGAAGCCTCATCTTCAGGGGCCCGATTCTCTGCAAGTTCACCCCACTCTACGGCTCTGACCTGGTGGCACACAGCAGCCCAGGGCTAGGACCCCCTGGGCCCAGCAGCATCAGCTGGAGGCATTTTGTCACCCATCACCTTTGCCGAGTTTTACAACTCAAGATCCAAGCTTTGTTTGAGTGAGATTAGATCACACAGAGGATGACGTGAGGCTGCCCCAAGGCTAGGGCTCCTCCCTCACCACAGGGACAGGAGTCCTGGGAAGTCAGTGCCTCACTGCACGTGGCACTGGGTGATGGGCCACTGGAGCAAGCTGGCAGCAGAGCTGAGGACCGAGCCCGTGTCTCTCTACCGGGCAACGGGAAATTCCGGGTACAGCAACCACGCCCATCAAAGCCTCTATCGGAGCACCTGGCATGATGGAGGGCTGGGTTCTTATAGCATGTGGGAGAGGTAGGATGTGGGGGAGGGAGGATGTTGCCAGCTGCTCCACACTTCCCCATTTCAGCAGTGGACACCACAAACCATAGGAATGGCAGAACCTCTAAAACCTATTTCTGGGCAAGAAATATGGACACACTGCCCAGAAAACTCAATTCCCAAAGCTACCCATTCGGGAAGCCACTCACATTTGCTGATGGTGATGACGTCTGCTGTCCACAGAACTGGGCTGGCCTGGGGCTTGAAGAGGGTGCTGCTGGTAGGGGCGGGTGTGTAGCGTTAACACGGGGCCGGACCACACCGTATGGGACTGAAACCAACTCAGCTCCTTGGTAGCACCCAGACCTGTGATGGGCTGGTTAACGCCCTGTTCCGGGCAGGCTTTCGGGGTGAATGGAATAGGGCCATTCTGTCCTGTGTGCTGCTGTGGCCCCAGCTCCTGGCATAGGAAGTATCTGCTGAAGGTGTGGGGGCTCAAGGGCTGGGTCCACACTTAGTGGGGGCAGTGGCTAGGTCCTCAGGGCGAGGCACACGCATGACATCCCATCACGTGTGGCTGTTCCAAGGTGGCAGCTGGAAGGCCCAGACTAGGGACACCACTTGGCTCCCGGAAGCCTCCTGGAGGTAGGCAGGGCCCAAGCAGTGAACGCTGCCCTCCTCAGACCCCGGTTTCCTGAGGGTAACACTCCCCTATTCAGAGGTGGCGTAAATTGTGAGGAAATGCGGCTACTCACAGTCACAACAGTAACTGGATTCACAGGAATCATAGTGCTTCTAAGGACTGAGTGTAGAGCTGACTGTGCGATCACTTCACTTCTGAGCCCCGAACAGGCACCACCTCAGAGGAGACAGCTCCCTCAGGGGCAGGGGCTGGAGCAGGGGTGCTTCTCGCCCAGGATGGGCTGCAAGGGAGACCATGATCGGCTGAGACGGGACTCTTGAGAATATGTGATATAAAATCGATAGAAATGGAAAATTATCTGTAATAGGGAGATTTTTGCTATAAAGGCATTTGCTTAGTAGGATTACTGTAGAAACAGGAAGATTGCTTTTTAAAATTACAGATCCCAGTCCCTTGCCAATTCTGTTACCAGAAAAATAGTGATTTTGATACAATAGTAACTGGATTCACAGGAATCATAGTGCTTCTAAGGACTGAGTGTAGAGATGACTGTGCCATCACTTCACTTCTGAGCCCCGAACAGGCACCACCTCAGAGGAGACAGTCCCTCAGGGGTAAGGGCAGGGGCTGGAGCAGGGGTGCTTCTCGCCCACGCGCTGCCCTAGCACATGGTCCGCACGGACAGCCTCACGAGCAGAGTGGGCTCTGAGCTGGCGCACTGCCTCCAATCCCAGCTCTGCTGGCACCAACCCCAGTTCCCTCCAGTGCCTTAACTCTGAGCTCACTCCCTCCCCTGAGAATCGTGAGGTAACAACCAGGGCTAGATTCCTTATGTGCTGGATATGGTTCCAAAATCCCTCTGGAGGAACTCACTTCATGGAGGCCAGACTCCCTTTCACAGGGTGATCAAGAAGAATGAATGGATGTACGGGTACCAGGCCCGAAGCTCCACCTGGCACAGTGTGTGCCAAGTCAGTGCTTTGGCCGAGATGCCTGTGGCTGTGCGAGTGAGCGCTGGGGCCCCTTGTCCTGGCTCACTGTGAGGTCTTCACAGCGCAGGCGCACGGAAGCCCTGGTCAAGCCCGGTGGAGGGGTCCCTGGAGAAGAGCAGTGGGGTCAGGAGGAGGCTCTCGTGCTGGGTGCGTCCACGTCCCATGACATGAGGGACACAGTGCTGCTTCCGCTCTCGTTCTCGCGCTGGAGGTCCCGGGCCTGCTGGTGCTCCTCGATGAGGTCTGCCACCAGGTTGAGCCGGCAGGCCCTGAGCGCCTCCACAAGGTGGGGCACGGCTGCTCGCTCCCGTGCGGTGCTCTTCCAGACTCTCAGCGACTCCCTCACCTGCTCTGTCAGGTTCCGGGGATACTTCACCTCGATGGCATCGATCTTGTTGTCAGACACTTTCAGCTGACGAGCCAGTCTTCTCCAGTCCTTCCCCACGTGATCGCATATGATGTCAAATGCTGCATAAAGGTCTAGGGAAAGAAAGAAAGAACAAAATGATTGACCAGAGGTTGGGGGCAGCTCCTTAGGAGACAGATACCCCAATGGACTTCTCTGTGCTGACCCAAGTGCTGGGTACCAGAGGTCCTCCTGCAAAGCTGAAGTCACCTGGCAGCAGAGGGGCTGGAGGTCACAGAAAGCCCAACAGTGACTTCTAATCCCACCCCAGCCAATGCCGCCCCAAGACATGGAGGTGTGGCCTGCTGAAGACTTGTTGGCTGGGACGGGCTGTGGTAGAACTATCTGTTTGGACAGGGGACACTGAAGAAAGGGCTGGGAGTTGCTAGAAGGAAGGAAATGGGGCTACTCCCCTAACCCATCCCGAACCATGGCCTCTAAAAGGATATATATCCGTGTCAATTCCCTGGAACCACGAACGTTAACTTAGTTAGAAAAGTTGAGGATCTCGAGGTGAGGCCATCCTGGATTATACAGGTGGCCCTATATCCAGTGATGTGTCCTGATAGGACATACAGAGGAGGCCATGTAACCATGGAGGCAGAGACTCAAGTGTCGTGGCCGCCTGGAGCCCCAGGAGCAGGACGAGGCAGGAAGGACCGCCCCCAAAGCCTGTGGAGGGAGCACAGTCCCGAGACACCTTGGCTCTGGACTCTGGCTGCCTCCTGTGAGAGAAGCAAGCTCTGCTGCTTTAAGCCACCGAGTCGGTGGGGATTTGTATGGCAGCCCCAGACTGACCACCAGTCTTCAGTCCCCGGCTACCATGTCCTCGAGTGCTGACGCTACTGCTGAGGTCAACCAGCCGGGCACTGCAGACCACAGGCTATTCTGGAATGCGGAGAGAGGCGAGAGGACAAAATGTTCCTGCAAATCCCATCTCCAGCTACAGACCAGAGACACTATGGCCATTTGTACAGACAAGGAAACTGAGCACAGAGAAGGCCAGTCAGCCTCCTGAGGCCAGACGCCAGGCCAGGGCAGAGCCAGGTGGCAAAACCCTGACAGTCTGAATCATTAGGCTAATTCATCTTCTGTAGAAGAGCAATGAAGAATCACCCCTTGTCAACCCTCACACCTGCTCTTCACCTCCTAGTGCACTTCCCTCCAACGTACATAAAACTCACTCACACACACACACATACACACACACACACACACACACACACACCTCCCCCACGGAAAATACTTGAAGATAGACTTTTCCCATGTCCCGGATTGTCTGTCTAGCACTGTGTGTGCACGTGTACATATGTATAAATCTGTCTACTTTTAGGCAGAGCTGTGCTGTCAGCCTGCCACCAATAAGAAGCACCAGTGCTTATGGAGTGACACCCATGGAGTGACTCTTAATATCCTCTTTGGGTTCGGAGACAGAATAACCCATTTCAGACCACAGCCTGAAGCCCTGAGGGGTGCCCCCAAGCACTTCCTCCCCCCAACTCCTCCCCCCCGGGTTGTAGAATATGGCGTGTGGCCGAGAAACCCTGAACTTGGGTTTCACTTTTACTCTTGGAGGCCTCTGCAAGCCACAGGAGCGGGCTGCGGAGGGGGTGCCTGGGAGCCGGGCAGGAGCCACTGCAGAATGGACTTGACCAGGGGGGCAGTTTAGTGCCTAATACCCACACCCCGAGGCCATACTGCCTGGCCTCAACCCTCCCTCCGGTAATTATTGGGTATGCAAGTCACTGAATATCCCCCTGAGCCACAGTCCTCTCGCCTGTAGAAGAGGGAGAATAACGGGAGGGAACCGTCTTTAACATACGGGGTATTGTGAACTGAATACGTAATGTGCTGGAGAACAGTAAGCGCAGCCACAAACCCGCCT